GTGATATATCACGAAAGCCCCGTGCACTATGTGATATATCACGAAAGCCCCGTGCATTATGTGATATATTGCGAAAGCCCCGTGCACTATGTGATATATCATGAAAGCCCCATGCATTATGTGATATATTGCGAAAGCCCCGTGCACTATGTGATATATTGCGAAAGCCCTGTGCACTATGTGATATATTGCAAAAGCCCCGTGCACTATGTGATATATCGCAAAAGCCCTGTGCACTATGTGATATATCGCAAAAGCCCTGTGCATTATGTGATATATCACGAAAGACCTGTGCACTATGTGATATATCGCGAAAGCCCTGTGCACTATGTGATATATCAACTGTAAATGTTCAATCATTTTGTTGTATTAATAATAATAGTAATAAAATTATTAAATATTTCTCAGCTGGAAACACACAAACACCATACATATATCAAAGATTATATGTTCCTAATCTAGTAATCTGATATTAAACATAATCATTTAAAAATAAATCTTTCTATTCCACCATGTTGAACTAACAGACAGGCTGAAAAAATTATTACAGGCATTGTAAAACATAAGTAAATGATGTTTATGGGTAATATCAATTTGAATTAATTCTGATTGTTATATTTAGGTACTTTTCATATTTTGTTGAATTGTTTTTTTTTCTGGAGATTGAAACCCCTCTGACCTGGAGATCACTGTGCAAGTGTACCAAGTGCCCACACCCACAAGCTTGATTTATTTTCAAGTCTTAAAATGACCAGTATTAAATATTATCTAAATTTCTATCACTTATATAAATATGAACAATTTATCAATTTAATTTTATCTTAGTTACCTTCAATTTAGCAGAACAGTGCATCATTCATGGTATTTTCTTAATTTCACAAACTTTCATAAATAGTTAAGTTACATGAAAAACAAAAGTGGGAGCAATCAAACAAACAAATCAGAATCTTCTTTGTTTACATAAGAATTGACTAACTATCACTTTTCCAAGAAGCACAATTGTTTTTGTAACTTTATAGGAGACAGAGGAAATGTGATTTTCATTCCAAAGTTTGCTATTTTGGCTAATTCTCAGAAGTGGTTAGAAGGACAGTAAATCAAGTTATAACAGAGGAAAGAGGATGAACAGGCCTTCCATCAGCAGCAGCAGAAAATTAACAATATATAAAGCTAGCAAGAGAAAAAAAAAGAAAACGTAAGAAAAAAAAAAAAGATGTGGAAGACTTAAAAAGTGGTAGAATTACTGACATAAAAATAACCGTTTTTTTCTTGTACAAGATCAACAATAGAACAATATACTCATGTGTATGTTAAACAGAATATTCAAATAGATACTGATGTGAACAGGATAAGTTTGAAAGACATATATACACGGGCGTCCACAGGAGGGAGGGCAAGGGATACTTTACCCATGGGAAATGAGAAACATATTTCTTTCTTTAT